CACTTAAAAACTACTATCATTTTTCAGTGAGATTTTATTCCTGAAAAGACAACCAAACCTGGTGCAGAGCATAGACAAAGGAAGCTACAGCTTCGAGCCTCAGAATGAGAAACCGTCAAGACTCAGATTGGGTAGAAATATATTACGTACGTAAAATTTGTACTACAAATAAAGAAGTTTGGGTGATGCATGAACCAAATTTCTTTATTTATAATATAAATCTTACAAAAACTTATTTCAAATATTTATACCTTTACAATTTTTTCAACATATGAATATCTAACTTATTCAACATGGATAAGTATTGTTTTATTATGAATTCTCTTTATTATGATCTTTAAAATATTTCTTAAAAATTAGAAGCACAAAGGGTAAAGATTAATGTAAAATATTCTTCGACTATTTGACAAAATTAGCAAAAGAAAGAAGAAGTAAATATGCAATCAATTATATAGAAACGTATACGAAAAGGAAAGAAATATGGTAACTGAAGACAATGTTATATCAAAAAGAAAATATAAGAAAAGCAAAGGGAATTCGAAAACTCGACGCGCTGGGATACCACAGGAACACATACCAACTGATACAACAGGTACATGCCACTGAAAAAAAATTAAAAAGAAAGACTAACATTTATTGGTTAAAGTAATAGAGACTTGAACTCATGCTCTCAGGTCTTATATTTTTCTTAAAGAAAGACTAAGCACATTTTGCTAAAGCAGTATTAACTTTTAAGCAAGGCTAAATAAATATTGTATGCCCACGTAGGCACACTGGTCTTATTTTTTTTTAATTTGTTTAATTTTTTCTCTCCATTTTCTAACGCATAGTCATTTGTTTTCTCGTCGGCAGTCATTTTTTATATAAACGGCAACGTGTACGCGGATATTTCAGGTCACATCAACAGAATATTCCGATGAGAAAAACAAAATGGGTAGAAAGTATCGAGGGTGAAAGGACAATAATAATGAGTGGCTCTCTATACAAAATTAGATTTATTAATTATTGTTTAATTTGTTTTTATTAAATTTTAAATCAATTTGTTAACCTCTATATAACTACATATCATGTGTGCTTAAGCTTTCCACAACTACTAAAAATGGCTGAACAACAACAGAATTTAGGTTACAGCAGTGGTGGAAACATTATTCCCACTCCTGAAGAAGCTGCTAAGTTCCAGCCCCAAGTCGTTGCAGAAGGTTATTCATTTTTAAAATTAATGGAACTTTAGGTTTTAATATGGTCTATATATATGTTATATATCTCATGTTTTTTTTTATAGTAAAAGTTATATATCTCATGTTCTATATGAAAAATAAATCATTTCGAATATTTGACGAATGAATGACACTTAAAAAAACTAAATATTTATTATTTGAATCTTACGGACATATAAATTCGTTTATTGTTAAATGTTATGTATTTTTTAACTCAAATTTATTAGTAATGACTGGGCTGATCATATCATTTATGTATTGCATCTTATTGTAAAGGTGCGATTTCTATCTTTTACATTTAGAAAATAAATAATTTATTTTTGTTTTTAGGTTTTTGAAAATAACTAAAAAGAAATACATCTAAAATAATTATAGCAAAATTTCTATATCCTAATAATATACTCAATATATTAATAATTGAAGAATTAATAAATTATTATATATATATATATATTCCAGTTAATGAATATTTATGTTAATTAATTTTATAAAATGAAGAAAATATTATAATTCTGATTATTAAAATTATAAAAAATTACTGCAATATATATAAACGAATAGGTGGATGGGAAAAATGCTGGGAAGACGGTGTAACACCATGGGACCAAGGAAGAGCCACACCTCTCATTCGTCATCTTCTCGACTCTTCATCTCTCCCTCTTGGCCGTACTCTTGTCCCCGGCTGCGGTGGAGTTAGTCATCTCTCTATTTTCATTTGGTTTGGTTTAAATTTGAGTAGACCGAAGATAATCATGCATGTTCGCTTGTTATGAATTTCTCGACTTGATTTAGATGGAATCTACTTACTTTATGTTTAGTCGCTTAAAAATTATATGCGTGTTGATTTACTTTGTAAATATTTTGTTAGGGACACGATGTCATTGCGATGGCAAACCCTGAACGTTTCGTTGTTGGATTAGATATATCCGAAAAGGCCCTCAAGAAAGCTAATGAGGTACTTGATCATGCATGATCATTTTCTTTCTTTTTTTAGAACTATTCCTACGTTCGTCTTTAAATACTAAAAATTAGTACTATATATAGACTTATGGCTCCTCACCGAAGGCAGCGTACTTTAAGTTCGTGAAGGAAGATGTTTTCACTTGGCGTCCTAATGAACTATTCGACCTCATCTTCGATTATGTGTGAGTTAATTAGCTATGAAAACATAATTAATGTTAGAATAGGTAATTAAAATCAAATTAATTAACTAATATAATTACAGGTTCTTCTGTGCCATTGAACCGGAGATGAGAGCTGCATGGGCTAAATCCATGCATGAACTCTTAAAACCTGATGGTGAACTCATAACTCTCATGTATCCGGTAATTATTTTCATTTATTTTTCCTTGTGTATTTCATTGTTTAAGGATATAATCACATAGCATATGATTTATTTATTTTTTGCATTTTTAAATTTATTAGATTACCGATCATGATGGTGGACCTCCCTACAAAGTAGCTGTCTCTTCGTACGTAATTAACCCTTCAATTTGTCTTCTATTAGTTATACACATATAATTATGACTAATAACTAATTATAATCCATAATTTCCCTATATTTAATTAAGAGCTTCATTAGCTAAAATGTTAATTGTGCGTGTGTGTGCTTTTGAGGTTTAGCTACGAAGATGTGTTGATTCCCGTAGGATTTAAGGCAGTGTCCATTGAGGAGAACCCAGACTCCATTCCCACTCGTAAGGTATGGATACATTAAAATTGTGTGAGTTTACAACTTTACATATATGTTATATCAAAGTATAAATTGTTTTTTTTTATTAAAGTGGTGTATATACAGTGCATGTGATTAATATAAAATTTGACTTTTTCCGTTATGTAAGATAAATATATAAATTAATTCATTGCAGTATAGATCACATAGCTGAACATTCCTTCGATCTATCATGTATTAAAACAGGGCAAAGAGATGCTTGGAAGGTGGAAGAAGATCAACTGATCCAAGAGAGAGGATCTTACTGTGTTATATGTGTAATATTATAATCTATTAAGAATAAATTGAGTATCCTATTACTCCATATGTAAAATATGTGTGTTTGAATAATTGAATGTCATGATTATCAAACGGCGACCAGTGTGAAGACGATGTTCCTCACTTTCGTCCGTTGTTTTATATTGTGTTTCGATCTAATAAAGTTTTTCCTTTCCACTAAGAGGTTTTTAATATTTTGATTTGTGTGGAGTTTTGTTTCTTTATTAATTGGATAAGTGAAGCTCGGCAATGGCAATACATATTTGAAGAAACAAGGTTCAATTGGGCCAGAAGAATATGCAACAAACCAGCTAACACCAGATTTATCTTTTGGGATAAAAATTCCAAATCCGGGATAATAGACACTACAAAAAAATGCACATTAATAACATATCGTAATAGCACGAATTGCGAAACTGCTATTGAAGATACGTTTGTAAGTTCTGAAACTTATAATAGCACTTAAACAGTGCTGAAATAAAATTATAATAAGCGGGAACCAAATTTTGATAATCTGCCAACACTTAGGCAAAAAAAAAAACACTTATGCGCCATTTTCCCCTTTATCGAAAACTCTTAGACAGTTTCCCCCTTTTATCGGAATTTCCCTAAAACCTAACCATCGCTGGCGAAATCTTTGTCGACCCTCAAAATTCGAGAAATCCTTCGCTGCCGCAACCACTACTTCTTCGCCGACCCTAATTCATCCGTTTGGAGTGAACAGTGATCTGAAATCGAGCGAAGGCATGTATTTCTTATCCTGATTTCTTTCCTCCTCACTCTAATTTTCTAATTTCGCGCTTAAGTAGATTACTTTTGACCAATTTCTCTGTTTATTAGAATCGATAATCTGTCTTTTGTTTCTGGAAGTTTCGATTATAGCTAGGGTTTATTAGAATCGATAATATGTCTTTTGTACTTGTTCTATCGCTCTGCATGCCTCTGTTCCTCGAGTTGGTGGACAATGTACCATCTAATTTTGATGAAACTGGAGATTAAGAACGAAAATTTTGGTTTATAGATGTAACTCATAACTCTGAACCTGCGCTGTTAGTTGCAATTGATATATTACACTTTATAAAGCATGGAATTTTCAAATAACTCATCACTTTAGTTTCTGTGTAACTGCAGTTTAAGGAAGTTTCGATCTTACATAGGTTTTTCAGAATTGACAGTAAAAGATCTCTCTTTTATCTGCTTTGTTTGGTGTATCACCGTCTAGGAGTTTAGTCGTAGCTGTTTACGTTTAATTATCTCTATATCTCATAGCTGTTTCTGTTAAACTGCATGCATATTCTCTTTACTTATACAAATCATGTTATTCTTTTGCAAGTGCTGATCAATGCAAGATTTCTGGAATTTCAGCTTTATCTTTACCATAATCACAGGGTCACAGGTTAGCGCCGTATATCCAATTTGAAGTGTTATATGAGTTTAGTTATCTGGCTGTGTGCTTTTTTTTTGGTGTTTATGGTATTATTATGATAGATGTAAATGCGTTTGCGAGCTTTATATATTTGCTGTAAACGATCATTGCTGTCAAATATTGGATATACAGATAATTCACTATATTTTTTATTAATTGGTAATTGGTAATTGGTTAATTTTTCTGCAATTGAGTTACTTGTTTGATATTTTCCTGTTTGTTCATTGTTATGGTACTGAGTTACTGGTTATTGGTTACTGGTTTGATATTGATTAATATCTGTTATTGTTCTGTTTCTCGATTGTTTTGATAATGAGTTTTAAATTGGTGTATCACACTAAAGGTTTTACGTAACTTAGTACATATAATGGTGGAGAAAGCATGGGTACATCTTAGCAGGTATTAAAATTGATCAATATAAGTTAGGTTCTAAGGGAGTTTGTAGATTTTAAGTTTTTTCCCATTTATTTCTGTGTTTGAAGAGCGGATCCTGCTTATGAAAGTGGGGCTCGACATTTTGTACAATCTGTGGCTGCTGCATTAGGAGACTGCAGTGATCTGATGATATGTCCGTGTATTGATTGTCGAAATATAGTTCGTCAATCAGGTAGAGTTGTAGTAGAGCATCTTGTCACAAGGGGAATGGATGAGGCTTATAAGATTTCTAGGGATTGGTATCATCATGGGGAAGTTATTTCAGAGTCTGAAAGTGAAACCAACTTCAATCATCAATGGAATGATGAGATTTTTGGATTGTATAGAGCTGTTGAGTATTTCGAAGAAGAGAATGATATTAAGGATTACTTCTGTGAGGATGACGATGGTGAAGATAAGAGGGAAGATGAATTCTATGCAAAGCTAGCAGATGCTGCAACTCCTTTATACCCAAACTGTGTAGCCGATAGCAAGCTGTCAGCCATTGTCAAACTGTTTAGATTGAAGACCCAAAATGGCTGGTCCGACAAGAGCTTTAATGATCTGCTAGAGACATTAAAGGAGATGTTGCCCAAGGATAATGTGCTTCACACGTCATTGTATGATGTGAAAAAGTTTTTCAAATCTTTTGATATGGGTTATCAAAAGATACATGCTTGCGTAAATGATTGTTGTCTGTATAAAAAGAAGTACAAGACCTTAGATAGTTGTCCAAAATGCAAGGCTTCAAGGTGGAAGACTAATACCCAAACTGGTGAGGTCAAGATAGGTATTCCAGAAAAAGTACTACGGTATTTTCCGATAATTCCCCGGTTGAAAAGGATGTTCAGGTCTGAGGAGATGGCTAAAGAATTAAGATGGCATTTCACTAACAAGAGCAGTGATGGAAAACTGCGTCACCCGGTAGATTCTGCGACTTGGGATCAAATGAACCACAAATACCCATCCTTTGCAGCAGAAGAGAGGAATCTGAGGCTTGGACTTTCCACTGATGGATTCAATCTGTTTGACGTGAACAATAGTACTTATAGTTGCTGGCCTGTGCTGTTGGTAAATTATAATTTGCCTCCTAACCTATGCATGAAGGAGGATAATATCTTACTCACGTTGCTTATCCCTGGTCCACATCAGCCTGGTAATAGTATTGATGTTTATTTAGAGCCCCTCATAGAGGATCTAAACCATCTGTGGAACAATGGAGAGTTAGCATATGATGCTTACAGTAAAACTAGTTTTACTCTTAAGGCGATGCTTCTCTGGACTATTAGTGACTTTCCTGCCTTTGGAAATCTAGCAGGCTGCAAAGTAAAGGGCAAAATGGGCTGTCCTTTATGTGGGAAAAATACTGATAGTATGTGGTTAAATTTTAGCAAAAAACATGTGTATATGTGCCATAGAAAGGGTTTGCCACCAACTCACAGTTACCGGGGAAAAAAAGCTTGGTTTGATGGAAAGGTTGAATATGGGAAAAATGGAAGAATCTTAAGTGGTCGTGAGATTTATAAAATCCTTAAGAATTTCAAAAATGATTTTGGAAATCTGAAGGAATCTGCAAAAAAAAAAAAAAAGGAGATTACACGCTTAGAATCTGATGATGAAGATATCTCCAGTGAATCCGAGGAAGAGGAAGAAGTAGAAGTAGATCAAGATGAGTTATTGAGATGGAAGAAAAGGTCCATATTTTTCAAACTTTCTTACTGGGAGGTTCGTTTTTCTGTTTTTAATTGTTTCTTTTTATCAGATTTTATCATTTAATTAGTTCGACTTTGGTTTAGACTCAATTTTTTTTTTTTTTGATTAGGACCTCCCGGTAAGGCATAATTTGGATGTAATGCATGTAGAGAGAAATGTGGCAGCAAGCATTGTCTCCACATTATTGCATTGTGGGAAATCTAAAGATGGTCTTCAAGCTCGCAAGGACCTACAGGATCTTGGTATTAGGAAAGATTTGCACCCGACTATCTAAGAAAAAGAACTTACCTTCCAGCAGCACCATGGTCTTTGTCCAAGTTAGAGAAGAAAGTCTTTTGTAAGCGACTCTTTGATTTTAGAGGTCCAGATGGATATTGTTCAAATATATCAAGGGCAGTATCTTTAGAGGACTGTAAAGTAAGAGGACTTAAACCACACGACTACCACGTGTTGATGCAACAACTTCTGCCAGTTGCACTTAGAGGATTATTGCCTAAAGGTCCTAGGATAGCCATCATACGCTTGTGCGCATTCTTCAATCAACTGTGTCAGCGAGTTGTTTATGTATCTCAGATATCAGGAATGGAAGCTCAGTTAGTTGAAACTTTATGCATGTTTGAAAGATTTTTTCCACCGAGCTTCTTTGATATAATGGTCCACTTGACAGTACATCTAGGAAGGGAAGCCCGATTAGGTGGTCCTGTCCATTTTCGATAGATGTACCCATTTGAGAGGTAAACAATTTATTGAACATTGTTTATTGTCGTTTTCTTACTTTTCCTTCGTTTTTATTGCTACTGATTATTCTTATTTATCGTTCAGGTATATGAAAGTATTGAAAGATTATGTCAGAAACCCTGCAAGACCAGAGGGATGTATAGCCGAGTCTTATCTTGCAGAAGAATGTATCCAATTCTGTAATGAGTTCTTGAAAAAGACAACAAATGTGGAGGAAAAATTAGATAGGAATACTGATTATGAGAATAGTTCTACCTTGGAGGACCGTCCGATATCAGCAGGGAAGTCATTTATTCTCACCGAGACAGAGAAGAAATAGCTCACCTTGTTGTGATCCAAAATATGGCTGTCGTAGACCCATTTGTGGAGTAAGTTCCATCATAAATCCATTCATTTGTCATTTCCTCTATGTATAACTGACATAATTCTTTTTTTTTCGTCTTTTTGTTGTACAAGCGAGCACCTGCAGCATCTACAAAGCACAAATGTAAGATGCAACCGTGATGCATCAGTGTTATGGAGTATGCATACTCAGAACTTTGCTGGTTGGCTAAAAGAACAGGCAAGTTAAATTTGATTATGAGATTGAATTTTTCATCTTTTCGGTATCTGATTTTTTTTTTCTCTAAACTTGGTGGATACCTATGGATTCAGACAAATATGGAGAAACACTTAAGTGGTTAGCATATGGTCCTCGTAATAGCTCAAGGTCCTACACAGGTTATATAGTAAATGGGCAACGATTTCACACGACTTCAGTGCATAGGCAAAGTCAGAACAGTGGGGTTTATTATGAGGCAACTGCAATCTGTAGATCTAGATCAAAAGACATGTCACAAGTGACTGCAGTGGTGGAATACTATGGGCGAGTCACTGAGATTATATTGCTAGACTATAATGTCTTCTATGTTCCTTTATTCAAGTGTCAATGGGTAGTAAAGGGAAATGGGGTAAAGGTAGAATATGGATTCACTCTAGTTAATCTTAATCAGAGTCAAGTGTCTTTTATGAGGGATCCGTACATTTTAGCTTCTCAAGCTAATCAATTGTTTTACTCAAGGGAAGATGATTCATCAAATTGGTATGTTGTGATGAGAGGACCTTAAAGAAGATACAGTAAAGAAGATTTTGCGGATTCTAATGCAGACATTGGGCCACTGCCTTCGAATGTTGACATGGAAGTCGACATGGATGAGGCTGGAAATGCACGAATTGATTGTGAAGGAATTTATGTTTGAAATGTAGCTTCTTAAGTCTATTGATCTCTGTGCTGTGAGTAAAATTTGATTGCATATTGGGTGTTTATTGGTTGGTAGCTTCTTGTCGGTTTATTGATCTGTGTGATGTGAAACACTTAAGTTCTCTATGTCTTATAACTAAGTGTTCTGTCTTTTGTTGCAGGTGAATTAAGATGGGAAAGAAGAAAGTTACTGCAGTTATCGATGACGAGCCCGAATATGTAGGTCATGTGGAACCCAATCACGTCGAGTTAGAGCAACCTGGAGAAGAGGAGCATGTTTCACAGCATTTGGAAGACTCAACGCATTTGGAAGATACACAACCTGGAGAAGAGGAGCATGTTTCACATCATTTGGAAGACTCAACGCATTTGGAAGATACACAACCTGGACAAGATGAGCCCGGAAGGACATCTGCTGCAGATGGAGTGTTCAACGAGGAGCCTGAAGGTGAGATTGAAATTTCTGGAGATGATGTTCTTCCGAATGGATCAAAGCTGAAGAGAAAAAGAGGCCCAACTTTGATGAGAGACATCGCAAAGGATCCAAATGTCAGAGAATATGTTGACTTCACAGCCACAGGTGAACCTTGTGGTCCTGGTTCAGTCAAGCTATCATCATATTTAGGGCCCTTGGTACGAGAACACGTCCCTGTTACAGTTGAGAGTTGGTTGAAAATCAGCGAGGAAGTGAAAACTATCCTGTGGAGGTCTATCCAGGTACCTTACCCTATTCATTTACATCTTCGTGACTTATATATATGGTATATGTATTTTTTCCACCGAATTGTATATTTATTGAATTTTGGTAACTGATTGCAGGCGAGATTTGCACTTGATCAACCGTATCAGAAGAAAGTTGTTTTCAAGCAGATGGGATGTCTTTGGAGGTCATCCAAATCCCGATTAGTAACTAAGGTTAATAAAGCAACGACTAATCAACAAAGGATGTATTTGCGACCAATCAATGTCTCTCCCACAGATTGGAAAAAATTTGTCAAAGTCAAAACTAGCACAGCCTTTAAGGTATGTAAATTGGAACTAATTACTATGTGATTGATATATGTATATTTGATTATGTAGTACAATTCATCTGTCAGGTTGTGAGTGATTCATACAAAAAAAGAAGGGCCAGTCAGGTTCCACACACTTGTAGCCGCAAAGGAATGGTCAGATTGACAGAAGATCTGGTAAGTATATGTTGATATATTCTTATGCATCTATCAGTTTACTTAATATACTACATAGAAAATGTCGTATATAGTTAACCGTTTTTTGTGTTTTGTGATAGAAAAACATTAGTGAAGATCCGTCTGAAGTGGACAGGCTAAAAGTATGGATGAAGTCACGTACCAGAAAAGATGGTACGCCAGTGAATGACGTTGCTGCAGAGAAGTTTGTAAGTTGTAAAGGCTGATAAGTAAAGAGTTTCGTTTTTGGTCGTGAGTTTAAACTATGGGCAAGTCACTCAGATTCTTTGTTTTGCAGAAAAAGGCAGCTGAGTTGGTTGCTAGGAATGTTCCATCATCTGAAACAAATATCGGAGAAGATACACTAAGCCAGCTTTTAGGACCTGATAATCCAGGTAGGCTGAGAGCAATGGGTAGGTCTATGAGTAAAACTAAACTAGCATGTTTTCAAGTGAAGCAAACGTGTTTGGCTGAGATGGAAGTGAAGCAAGTGAATTTACAGAAAAAGGTTGAGGCGTTGCAAAATGAAGTGGATGTACTTAAGAAACAGGTCACAACCTCACTATTTCTTTAATAATCAGCCTCGTAATTAATACATCTATTTGACATTTTTTTCATGTTTCAGAAACAAGAACTTGAAGTCGGAGAAAACTCAGCTGTAAAAGTAAGTAATCTAGTTCAAAATAGTTTTACTGATCATTTGCAATATCTAATATATTACTCTCAAACCTGTTGTAGAGTGTGAACAAAGGATCACACCCAAAGTGTGTGGTGATTGATTGGGAGGGTACTGGTGAACACGTTGCTGAGGGGCGTATAATTCCTGCTTCTCCAACTGAATTAGTCAATGGTGCTCCATTAGGACTTACATATGTAAAAGTATTGATTGAGTTTGTAATCAAACCAGACGCTTTTCTTTGGAGACCTGCAACAAACATGTGTAGGGTTAAGGATGCTATTGGAGAGTTTGTTGCATGCTCTGCCAAGTACTATGTTCTTAAAGATCAGATGACAAAACCATCAGACGTTGTCCCTACGGTAAAATTTAATTTTCAGAATCATATATATTTCTTTAGCCCATTTTAAATGGTCTTTGATGAGAATAGTATTAACTTGCAGAGATGATTATTTGGTGAACATAATTGATAGATTGTTTATGCATATTTGACAGAATTTAAACAAGTGCTAACTACTGGATTTTTCCTCAGATGATGTTGTCGTTGCTGAAGGCTATTGGCATACAGATGAGAAAAAAGTATTGGTGAATGGATTTCCACTCGGATCTGGTGCTGTTAAAGTATTTGTGGAATCTATACTTCAACTTGGGACATTCATATGGCGGCCTTCGAATGATATCGCATACCTAGAAGACTGTTTAAATTCTTTTGTGTCATGGCCTGTCAGTAAAGTTGTTTTAAAAAAGACCACAGATGCAAGAGGTCACAAGCCACCTGTTCATAAATCTTAAGCATCTGAGAAAGGACCAGCTCAAAAAGCTGCAGCAAAATGTTCTACTTCACCTGCTGAGAAGTCTCCAGACTTGACAGGTCCAAAAGCTATAACAAAAGGTTCAACATCTCATATTGCGAAGGCTCCAGCTTCAAAATGTTCAAAATCTCCCAAGAAGCAAAAAGTACAAAATCCAGAGTCCCCCCTTCGAAGATCTCAGGTAATTTTATGGCTCCATAAGGTAATTAGTAATAAAGTTGCTTCTGGAAATTATGAATGTAATGACTGTTTTATAATGTTGACATGGCAGCGTAACAATAATCCCAACACAGTGTTCAAGGAAAATCAGCCGTGCAAGTTGGTGGATATTTCTAATGGAAAGCGGATTGTCGCTCAAGCAGAATGGATTTCAAATGACCCAGAACAAACTATCCACTGTGTTCGCTTGGGGATTAATGGAGTTAAGGTTCTGGTTAAGGCAGTGGACGTACCTGATGCAGCAGTTTGGAAGCCATCTTCTGCAATCGAGTGTATGGAAGATGCACTTGGTACATATATTGCATGGCCAGATGATAAAGTTATCATGGTTTGAGTTCAACAAACTAAGGTTAGTGTTGTGAGTAGAGCATGCTAGCTACTTTGGTTCTTAACTTTGCTAAT